GCACACCCCCCCCCCTTAATCAGATGCATTCAAAATGCATGTGACCAACAAAGATCCAACCCAGATTCTACCAGGATTATTTTCACCATCTGAATAAACCAGGGGTAGGCAACCTTTCCCCTTTAAGGGCCGAGGGACTTCAGCTCCCAGAATCCCAAGAGCTATTGGCCAACATGGGACTATTGGCCAACATGGCTGAGGCTTCTGGGAGCTGAAGTCCCTTGGCCCTTAAAGGGGACAGGTTGCCTACCCCTGGAATAAACCCTTGGACACACGGAGGTTGCAAACTAGGGAAAGTGCATAAAGGTAAAGGTATTCCCCGTTAACAAGGTTGTCAAGTCATGTCCGACCGTAGAGGACGGTGCTCATCTCTGTTACTAAGCTGAAGATCCAGCGTTGTCAGAGACTACTCTGTGATTATGTGGCCAGCATGATTGCACAGAATGCTGTTTACTTTCTCACCAAAGTGGTACCTATTTGTCTACTTGCATTTGTATGCTTTCAAACTGCTAGGTTGGCAGAAGCTGGGACTAGTGACAGGAGCTCACCCCATCATGCAGGGAGAGTGCATACGTGTGTCCAGTTTTCCGTCTGAAGAAGTCTCTCATGACTTGCTATAATACTGGCAGATCAAAGTGTTGCTAAAGGTGTGGCTAAGGGGTGGAAGGCAGTAGGTAATCTTAAGATCTTTCACCCAAAAGATAGGTACTTTTATATAGAGAGGGAATTCTTATTAAAACGTGAAAGCAGGCATGAGAGATATAGATCCATGTACTAACATGCCACATGTTAACTTGCAGAATCAAGAGGCAATGTGCATGGAGCAATTTCTTGCCCTTCTCCTCTGAAGTGTGAAGTGTGCACTTTGTTGCTGTTAACTGCCATCCAATTGACTTCAACTTATGGCAACCCTATAAATGAGAGACCTCCTAGTCACCCTATCCTCTACATCACTACTTAGGTCTTGCAAATTCAGGGCTCTAGCTTCCTTCACTGAGTCTATCCACTTGTAATGGAGTCTTCCTCTTTTTCTACTGCCTTCTACCTTACCAAGCATCATTGTCTTTTCTAGTGAGTCATGTCTTCTCGGGATGTGTCCAAAGTACAACAGTCTCAGTTTAGTCATTGTGGTGTCTAAGAAGAGTTCAGGCTTGATTTGCTCTGTTGTTGTTGTTGTTGTTGTTGTTGTTGTTGTTGTGTGCCTTCAAGTCATTTCCAGCTTATGGCAACCCTAAAACAAACCTATCATGGGGTTTTCTTGGCATGATTTGTTCTGAAGAGGTTTGCCATTGCCTTCCCCTGTGGCTGAGAGCATGTGACTTGTCCAAGGTCACCCAATTTCCATGGCTGAGCTGGGAATTGAACCCTGATCTCCAGAGTCATAGTCCAACACTCAAACCACTATGTCACATTGGCTCTAGGACCCATTTATTTGTCTTTTTAGCAGTCCACAATATCTGTAAAACTCTTCAGCATCACATTTCAAATGAATTCATTTTCTTCTTATCAGCTTTCTTCACTGTCCAGCTTTCACAGCTGTACATAGAAACAGGAAATTACAATGGTATGGATAATCCTAAAGTTAGTATTCAATGGTATATCTTTACACTTGAGGATCTAGTCTAGTTCCTTCATAGTTGCCCTTCCAGGTCTTAGGAGTTTATCATACGGGAGGAAATTAGGAGTTTAAACAGTAATTAGCCCATGAAATTCATGCAATTGACATTAAAACATGATTAAAATGAGATTAGTACAAGAGTCATTATCCTGTGAATAACCAGGGAATAACCAGGCAATAAACAAGAAAAGGTCATTCATGGGGAAATCCTGTGAATGATTTGCTGCTGTTTCTTGCCTGGTTGTTCATGGGATAATGGCACTTTAATCGCGTTTCACCTCGACGTTGTGTGGAAACCATTAGCGCAGTTGCGGGATTATCACAGGTTAATCACCGTTTATACTTCCAATTGTCCCAGTGTGATAAATTCCCTAATTCTTCTTCTGCTTTCTTGACTGCAGTCTCCATTAATGACTGAGTCGAGGTATTGAAAAATCTTGAACTATTTCAGTGTCTTCATTGTCTGCTTAAAATTATGTAAATCATCTGTGGTCATTGTTTTGGGCTTTTTTTTTTAAAAAAAAAATTATATTCAACTGTTAACTTGCCTTTGCACTTCCTTACTTTCTTCCTTAATCTTTCCAAGTCTTTGCTATTTTCTGTTGGTAGTATGGTGTCATCTGCATGTCTTAAATTGTTGATATTCTTTCTTCTTATTTTCCTGCCACCTTCAAGTTGAATCCTGCTTTACGTATGGTATGTTCAGCATACAAGTTAAATGGATAGAAGGGTGATGGTGGTTATTGTTGTTGTGTTGTTGGTGTTGTTACTATTATATTTGTAGCTCGTTTTCCACCAAAACTGGTATTCAAAGGAGCTCACAATTTAAGATAAACAGAGTGATAAAATGCAGATTTTTGTGACCCCCTTGCCAATTGGAAACCATTCAGTTTCTCCATAATCTGTCCTAACAATGGCTTCTTGTCCTGAATACGGGTGACATCACATGTTGTGGCACACCCATTTCTTTAAGAACAATCTATAGCTTTTAATGATCTATACAATCAAAGGCTTTGCCATATAGTATTAATAATAATAATAAAGTCAATATAGTCATATAGTCAATAAAGCACAGGCTGCTTTTCTTTTGAAATTTAACATATGTTTGTAATATGATCCCTAGTGCCTCTTCCTTTTCTGAACCCAGCTTTAACATCTAGCATTTCTCACTCCATATATAGCAAAAGTCTTTTCACATTGATTTTGAGCATCACTTTGCTTGCATGAGAAATTAATGGTATAGTCTTGTAGTTTACTGTAATCCCTGGTGTCTTCTTTCATAGGGATTAGAATGCATATTGAGCATTTTCAATTTTGGCCCATTGTTTTTTGTCTTCCATATCTGTTGACAGATTTTAGTTAAAACTAGAATAGATTCTGTCTCTGTAGATTGAAGCAGATCTATTAGTATATCATCTGTTTGTGGGTGTTTCATCTTCCGGCACTTCATCTTCATATATATATATATATATATATATATATATATATATATATATATATATATATATATATATATACACCATTCTTTAAACTCCCATTTTCCAGAGTGATATATACCAAAAAAGGTTTCTACCCACTGACTCAAGCTTACTGTCAAAATGTTGCTTTGGGGTTTGTTTGCATGTTGTTGTTGTGTGCCTTTAAGTTGTTTCCGACCTATAACAACCCTATCACCGGATTTTCTTGGCAAGTTTTATTCAGAGGAGGTTTTCCATTGCTATCCTCTGGGGCTGAGAGAGTGTGACTGTCCAGGGTCACCTAGTGGGTTTACCTGGCCGAGCTGAGATTTGAACCTTGGTCTGTCTACATACAAAAATGCAAAGGTAGGGGGAAAGAAAAGCATAGCAAAGGACAAAAAGACCTCCACCTTTTGAAATACTATAATACTATACCTTTTGAAATACTAGAAATACATTATTATTATTATTATTATTATTATTAAATAAATAAATGTACCGTACTTCTTTCCAATGGTTCTTTATTTTTAAACCAGGCAGTTCTTCAATTAATAGTGGATAGCTTCATACAAAGGACAGGTCTATCAGCTTTATAACAGTCACATTAGCACCACAGGGAAGGGAGAATAGTACTACTTTCAGCAAACATTTATTTAATACTTGAACTGTTCAAAGTACATTGCACAGACTGCATCTGCATTGCAAAATGAATGAAATTTGACACAATTTTAATTACTGTGGCTCAATGCTATGGAATTATGGGATTTGTAGTTCTGTGAGAGAGTTAGCCTTCTCTGTCAGGGAGCTCTTGTGCCACACCAAACTACAACTCCCAGAATTCCATAGCATTGAGTCATGGCAGTTAAAGTGGTGTCCCCAATTAATCTAATTCACATATAGTGCTGGAATACTGGGAATTATAAACTGAAAATGTATTCCCTTAAAATTCATTGGATAATCTACTATTATTTTCACAGATAATCTTTGTAAATTCTTTTAATTCATTTGAGACTCTCCAAATGAGAATTATATGGATTTTTGATTAAGGAAATAAATGCTATTGAGTTAAAAGAGGATAAATGACCTTTCATTTTAGTTAGTCTGGATTATTTTATTATCACTAACATAATTTGGTTAGTACATGAACATCAAGGATGTTATGAAAGCAACACTGTGTGGTTACAAGGATGAATTGGACTAGTAGTGCATTAGAAGATCTTTCTGTTCCCTCTATTTGAAAGCCTGCTTTTTAAGAAAAAGGGGGAAAAACTATTTTCCATATCCAGTTCTTCTCTCTTACACATCAAACAAAAGCAGATTAAAAACTTGTCTTACATACAATGGCCAACCAAACTAATTCATGTTTACTTTGAAACAAGTCCTGCTGAATTTAATGGGACCCAAGCCAAGAAAATGTATTATACCAGGGCAACGACTATATATTTTATATAAGCTGATCTGCTTGTATAACAAAGTTTAATAATTCACAATACTTTTAGCGCACCCTGCTGTCTATAGCTAAGAGTACCACGCATTTTGGTTTCTTTACCTTAGAGTTTATATACCATGACATTCTCATTATAAGAGAGACTAGTTGAAGATGCAAAGATCAAGATTTTATAATATTATCCAAACAGACAGCAGTAGTAAAGATTTCTGCTTTAACTGCGCTTTACTTTGTGAGAAAGAAAAAAACAACAACCCTATTTTGTTGGAGTTTTTGCATGAGTGTTGGAGACCAGGGTTCGAATCCCCGCTTGGCCATGGAAACCATAGGTGAAGAGGTGACATCACACTCTCGGCCTCAGAAGATGGCCATGACAAAACCCTCTGAAGAAATTTGCCAAGCAAACCCCATGATAGGGTTTCCATAAGTGGGAAAAGACTTGAAGGTACAGCAACAATACATGCAAGGCAATAAGAGAGCCGGAGTGGCATAGTGGTTTGAGTGTTGGACTACGACTCTGAAGACCGGGATTTGATTCCCAGCCCGGCCATGAAACCCACTTGGTGACCTTGGGCAAGTCACACTCTCTCAGCTTCCTCAGGGGAAGGCAATGGTAAACACCCTCTGAACAAGCCTTGCCAAGAAAACCCCTTGATAGGTTCGCTTTAGGATTGCCATAAGTTGGGAAGGGCTTGAAGGCACACAACAACAACAATGCAAATCAATAGGGCAGGAAGCTTTTATATACAAGCGAATACTGGATTTGACCTAAGTTAAGAGGTGATATGATGGCCCTGTTTAAGTATTTGAAGGGATGTCATGTTAAGGAGGGAGCAAGCTTGTTTTCTGCTGCTCCAGAGAATATGAGTCAAAGCAATGGATGCAAACTACAGGAAAAGAGATTCCACCTCAACATTAGGAAGAACTTCTTGACATTAAGAGCTGTTTGATAGTGGAAGACACTCCCTGGGAGAGTGACGGAGTCTCCTTCTTTGGAGGTCTTTAAACAGAGGCTGGATGGCCATCTGTCGGGGATGCTTTGACTGTGAGTTTCTGCATGGCAGAATGGGGTTGGATTGGATGACCCTTGAGGTCTCTTCCAACTCCATAATTCTATGATTCTATGACCTTTTCTGCAACCTTTTGGGGAGTTTTGCATGGGGAATTTTTGAATGGGAATCCAAACTCAGCTTCAGATGTACTTGCGCTATTAAGTGGACAACCTTGCAGGGCTATTGTAAACTAGCTCTGGCAAATTATTGTAAACAAGCTCTGTAATTTGCAATTAGGGACATAATTGCAGAGGACTCCCCTTTAGATTCACTGTGCACCACTCTCTCCTGCTGCTGCCAGGGTGACCAGACATCCTCCTTCTGTCCAGGAGGAATTCCAAAATGTCCTCCATTTAGAGCAGGACTGAGAAGCATGGATTTATGATAGTGTTTTTAGCTTTTATTTTGTAAATGGCCTACATTTTCCTCGAATGCCCTACATTTTATGGGGCCTTGTCCTTCTTGGATGTTAGGACATCTGGTCACCCTGGCTGCAATGGACAAGTTCTCTACATGGACATTTGTTGTAAAACATCATCTCAGCTCTTGGCTGACCCACAAGGTGCTGTATGGATGATGAGAGTATCACTGAAGGACATGGCAGGGTTGCTCCAAGCCCCGAGTTCGACTTCTGCTTGAACCCCCCCAACTTGCAATATTAAGCTCCAAAACACATTGCAGAAATAATCCAGTTTGAGACCACTTTAACTGCCCTGGCTCAATGCTAGGGCATTCTGGGAACTGTAGTTTTGTGAGACATTTAGCCTTCTCTGTCAGAGAGCTCTGGTGCCACAATAAACTACAGTTCCCAGAATTCCCTAGCATTGAGCCAGGGCAGTGAAAGCGTTCTCAAACTGGATTATTTCTGCAGTGGTTTTTGGACCTAAACCAGAAAGTGTTTAAAGAATGGGCTGGGGGTGTTGTACTATTTTATAGAGTACTGTTTTATAGTGCTTTTTATCTTTTTTTAAAGCTGTGTTTTATTCTTTTAACCAGTGATTCGTTTTAATACTGTAATAATAATATTCTATTTTAATGCTCTTTTGTATGTTTTTAATTGTACTGTTCTTTTAAACTATATGCTGCTCTGAGTCATAATTTTGGAGGAAAAGTGGGATATAATAATAATAATAATAATAATAATAATAATAATAATAACTTACTACCATTCCCAGAATTCCATAGCATGGAGCCATGGCAATTAAAGTGGCAATAATAATAATAATAATAATAATAATAATAATAATAATTTTCAACAACAACAACAACAACAACAAAACAACTAATAATAATAATAATAATAATAATAATAATAATAATAATAATAATAATAATAATAAACTGCACAGCGCAGCCAGTTTAATACTCTTATCCCATTCAAAGAAATAGGCCTGAATGGCTAGAACATGAAATAGTAGTCTTCGTTGAAATTTGTATTGACGGGGCTGTCTTGGTAATGTTGGGAAATTAATTTATTTTAAAAATGTAATGCTTCCACAGAAAGTGAGATATACATTGGGTCACAACTTTCACTTCCGCCCGGGAGGGGTGCCTTCGCTCCTTACTTCCGGGATACATCCAAACATGGCGTCTGTCCGCCATATTAAGAGAGAGAGGATCCCGTCTCTTCTTTCAGCACTCTATAGTGACAGGCGTTCG